CTTGCGAAATTCGATATAATATCGGTTATCTTGTCATCTTCCAAAAGCACCCTTCGTGTGCTTACGAAGACGTGTCTTAGGGATGACGTTTCCGACAAGGAAACTGTCACCGACATTCCAAACTTTGTTGTATTTCGCAAACATCAACAAGGATCAAGAGGAGGCGATGTTCTTATTGTCCATGAATAAACGATTATCCTGACTCTACTAAACGTATCCTCCTACTGGGAAATTTTGTGGTTAAAATTCAACGTTATTCTAAGCTGCTACTTCTTGGTGTTCGCTATCGCCGTACAAACAGTCAGGCTAATTTCCCTTACAAGATTAACAACATCTTAAGACAGCTAACTAAAAAATATCCAAATGCCCATGTCCTACTTTTTAGTGATTTTAATTACAGAAACATCGACTGGTCTTCAGCGCTGTCCCCGCTCAAACCAAGCTGGTTCGAGAATTTTTTTTGACGTTTGTCTGAACTTTAACATAACTCAACTGGTCACGTAACCAACACGTTTAACCGAGACTACCTAGAACATCTTAAATCTTACCTATACTAACCACTCATCCTGATAGCCTTACTAGCAGTAACTATCTTCGTAGAATTAGTGATCGTAAAATAATGAACACTACCTTCACTACTGCTCCCATCTTACGCTGTCGATGTAAAAAGAGAATTCCTCAATATATAATCAGGGCGCTTATGAGATAATAACCCGCAAACTGCATGAATTTTATAGAAAAATTGTATTGCGCATTCATTTACAGTCAGTAGATGATAACTGGTCTCTCTTTGAAGGTAAGCTTAAAAGCCTCGCAGGTAAGTACATACCAACATGCATCGTTCCGTCAAACCGATATCAGCCATAGTAAAATAAATCTCTTAATAAACTCGATAACAAAAGGAAACGTTTGTTTCAATACGCAAAAATGAAAGGGAAAGTGGGCGCGTGGGACAGATACTATGAAGCAAAACGCGTATATTTAAACGCCGTTCGCACAATTGAGCCCTGCTTCTACCACAATAATCTACAAGCCATGGTGCCAGATAACCCCCAAAAAGTTTTGCAGACCATCAATCCTCAGTCACACCGAAAAAGTACAAGCGAAACAGGTGATCCCTGACCGGACTTCGAGTGTGCTAACATTGTAAACCCAACTTTTTCATCGGTTTTCACCCTGCAGACCAGCGCTCCCCTTCCAGAATTTTCCACCATGCCAGAAATGTCCGACATTTCTTTTTCCATAAATCGTATTTGTTGCCTAATAGATAAGTTAAAATTGCCATCATGCGCTGATCCTGACAAAAACACATCAAAACTTCTCAAAAATACTGAAACAATTTCTGCTTCCTTTTTTTTCCTTTTTGACATTGCTGCTTTCCTACTCATTAAACACAGGTGACCTGCGAACAGAATTAAAAGTCGGGAAGGTGGTCCCGGTCTCACAAGTCAGGTTATTGAGAATCGCCTTTAAACAACCGCCCTATTTCTATAACAAGCATTCTTTGGAAGTTCATGGAACATGTCATATTTTCTCACATAATGAATTTTCTTGACTCCAATAATTGTTTCATTCTTCATAGCATGGGTTCCGAAAAGGACTATTATGTGAAACTTATTAGCCTTCTTTGTTCATGACCTACATTTCAACGTCACAATAATACACTGACTGATGTAGTTTTGCTCGACTTCGCTAAGGCATTTGACATGGTTGCTCATCAGCGGTTGCTGTTAAGACTTTCACACCTCAACCTTCATCCTAACGTTTTAGGTAGATCAAGCAACTCTCAAATTGTGCAAATAAACAATAACTCTTCTAACCCACTTCCGATAACATCAGGTGTTTCTCAAGGTTCTGTGTTGGGTCCTCTCCTTTTCTCAATATATAATAATGACTGACCGCTTATTATCTCTAGTAATATGCGCATATTTGCTGACGACTGTGTTGTTTATCCTACTATATATAATACAAATGACCGAATTTTGCTTCAAACCGACCTCAATAATATTCAAAACTGGTGTGATAACTGGCTCATGCTACTGAAGCTTTAAAATTGCAAGGTTATATGTCTATAACTTGTAGTTGCACTCTCAGTTATCTCATCTTACATAACACATGATGGACCCATCAAATCAGTCAAATCATTCGAATACTTAGGCGTCACTATAACCAGCGACCTTGATTGGTGTTCACATATTAACACCATACCATCTGCCTACAAAAAACTAGGTTTCTTTAAACTTTGCCTAATGAAAGATCCCTTCCCCCTCCCCGTAAAATTTTAGCATACACATCGTTCATCAGACCTAAACTTGAATACGCTTCTTCAATCTGGTGTCCACACGAAGCTTACCTTGCCAATGCCCTTGAACTCTTTCAAAATTGTGCTGGTAGGTACACTCACTCCGCATATTCATAAAACATTAGCGTATAATAATTAAAAACAGCCTCCCAATTTGTCATCTCTTTCATACACACGTCGCATTTATATCTTATCATTATTTCACAGATTTTTTTTAAAGTTCCCTTGCCATCACACCATACATCTCGCCACCACCAGTACGAGTGTCACATCGCACCGGTTATTCTTTAAATTTTGCTCGCCACAAAGCGCACATGCACTGTCACTTTTTAATCTTCTTTTTTTCCCTTGTGTAGAAGTAGATTGTAACTTCTGTCCGTACGACATTGCTACTATAAGGTGCTCATCTGAGTTCATCGAAGAAGCGTCTGCATTTTTCGCACTATAATTTTTTTTTATATTTTTGTAAACCTACCCCTTATGTATTACCCCTTTTTTGGGGGGCTTTTACGGAATAAAGAAAGAAAGACCTGAATGAATGAATGATTGAATGAATGAATGAATGAATGAATGAAATGAACGAATGAATGCAGCACAGCCCTTCATGGATGCACACGGCGCGAACACAAAAAGACAGTGATTGAGATATTTGGGTTATCGGCAGATGAAAGAAGTTCTATGTATGCCAATAACTGATCCTCAAGTTCCACATGCATTTTTATATAAGCATCAAAACGACAATTTTAAAGGAAGTAACTGCGATAACTCTGAACACTAGCTGTTAGTATTGTTTATTATGCCGTTTGCATATGGCTTCTTCGGAGAATCAATAGGTTGTCTAAACGAGAATAGTAATGGAGTAAGTGGCATCGTAGAACGAAGAAGCAGATAACTAAGCTTTTTTATCTTAAACAAGGGTGAAATATAAAGCTAAACACGTTAATCACTGAACACATTGAAGCCACACTTCTTTTCCTACAGGTTTAGTTCTGTCTATTTGTCCAGTGGGAGCGATAAAAAAGGCCGGTGTATGTATACACTTGTCGAAAACTGACGAAGTTGTGTTGTCTACTATTCAGGTGGTCAGGCCTGAGCTTGAAAAACGGTCAGATGTCAGTGGTTCCAGCTAAATAACTTTCTGTCACTGAAGGGCAATAGTCTACACAGGAAAATACAACGCAGTGGAACTACTTGAGATGAATTCATATATTTAGGCGCAGCGGCCATCGTGTGCGATTTATAAAGATGGTCTACAGCTTGGAGACAGCTGAGCAACGAAAAAGGAAAAAAAATAATTAGGTGAGTTATCATCGGTATTGGCAGTGTATAAAACGATCTGCAAGGAAGACAAGCGGATAGCTTTCTGAATACTTGGCTTTTTTCTCAGGAGAAGCGCGCACTTTAAACGTGCATTCATTTTTTTGCTCAGATATAAGTAATTGAAGTAGTGTGTCAGGGAGAAAACACGAATATTGATCATCGACATGGAATTGTAACAAAATTCACCACAAGTGTAACAAATAATTGGAGGAATGTACGCATCGTGACCTGCGAATCACGTTCGTCATACGTTTCCGTCCTTCTATGCGAATTTCGGTATGTACGAAGCTAAGCGGACACTTATCAGAACGGCAAAACGCAACGGCGAGATATAGGTTATGAAGTTTCTCACAAAAATACTTGCAGGAAATCATGGCGCCACCATGTGTGTTCATTTTTAAGGAGTGCCATTAGACCGCTACAAAATTTGATATATGTGTCTGCGAGGATTGAGTTGGCTGGTGTTGAGCGGGGCGTCCACTCAAAAGCAGATACAAGTGCCCAAAGAAAGCTTCTCTTAAAGAAGGCTGTTATAAGCGGGCCTCTTTCACGCTTATCATACTGTAAAATAAAAGTCCACTTACCTTGAAGGCACAACCAAATGATCAAAGTAAAAAAGAGACGACATGAAGTGGCAGAGGGAATGCTGGCTTTGTCGGCTGCCAGCTAAGTTTAGCGAACGTTTGTTGCTTTTTACAGTTTCTAAGTTGTACATCGATGCAGAAGTTTTCTTCATTATATCAAATACGTTTCTGTGCAATGACAAAAAATAAATAGCATATTTGTTCTTTTTCAGTAAGAAACCAGTGATTTTGACGCAACGAAAGCGTTGAACACAGACGCTTCTGCGAGGTGCGCCTGGAGTCTAAATGAACGATACGAATCCGAGCCAAGTTCGAAGCTCACATATTCAGTCATTCCCTTACATCGAGCAGCTCACTAGCACCTGATTTTCCTCTAGGTATGAGACTCTATGAGATTATTAGATAGATAGATAGATAGATAGATAGATAGATAGATAGATAGATAGATAGATAGATAGATAGATAGATAGATAGATAGATACATAGATAGATAGATAGATAGATAGATAGATCTTTCATATGGTGTTTTTTCTCCGCCACGTCCTTACAAGGTGCCAAACACCAAGCGATTGTCACGTGGGTATTGTAATCTGTCAGATATCACCTGTGTAGGCCATATAATTGTGTTCTGTTTGACATACAAACGAACGCTTGCAGCCCCTTATCTCCTAAGGGAAATGCTCGCACACCGCGACAACGAATAGATTGTAAAGTATTGGAAAGGAACACCCTTAAAACACAGTAAACAAGCTGTATCGAAAGAGTGTGATTCCAAATAAAATTGAATACAATGCTTTGATTGAACGATAACAACGGCAAGCATTTAGTTTCCTTTACGTTGCTAGGCAAAGATGTAGTCTTTACTGCAGAGCGGCCCACCGCTGCTCTATGTGGTTGATGGCAGGTCCGTAGAGTTCTTCAAAGTACGGGAGCTGTGATTTGATGTTTCTGTAGTAGCTGACAAGTTTTGGGTACTTGTTGAGGTCGATGACGGGCCCCTAGAATCAGATATATTAAAATATGAAGCGAAACTTGATTATCACAAATAATGAGAGGGCATACTTCCAAGCAATACTTTTTATTCGGAAAGTAGTAATTGGTATACATATCAAACCATTAACCAAATGACTTTTTATCTCTTCAGAGCAACCTCAGAACAAATAGTGAACTCTAGTTAGCCTGAATCGCTTAAAAGAGTGATTTTGGACATGAAGCCCTTTTCTGTCAAATGGTATTTCTCTTTCGTTCACCGCATGATTGTGAGTTGAGCATCATGGTGTCGCGGAAGAGATTCATTTTTGCATAAATCGCTAAAGTGCTCATTAATACTCATGGTGACCCCGCCGCAGTAATGTAGTGGCTAAGGAACTCGGCTGCTGACCCGCAGATCGTGGGATCAAATCCCGGCTGCAGCGGCTTCATTTACGATATAGGCGGAAATGTTGTAGACCCATGTGCTCAGATTCGGGCGCACGTTAGGAAACCCCAGGTGGTCGAAATTCTCCGAGTCCTCAACTACGTCGTCTCATAATCATATGGTGGTTTCGGGACGTTAAGAGTGGCGTACCAACTCTTTCGCAAGTTGCGCGGGCTAACCTACTTTCTCACAACCTACCAATATTTTATTGCTGAATAAAATTTTGATAGACTAAAAACAGCTCACAAATAAATAAATTTTTTAAAAGTACTCCTTGAAGAAGCAAAGGTAATTTGAGCACTTCTACTTAACTAAGCTTCCCGCTAAGGTCTAGTCCACTGCTTTATTCGTTGCCGCTTTGCAAGCTGCCTCCGTCGCTCCAAGTTGCCATAAGCAAGGCTGATCATATTTATCGGAGAATAAAGTAGAAACCTTTCTTGGGGCTTCCAGTACAGCAAAACTAAAACACCTAGAAAAATTAGTCACAACCATGTGAACACAGCAGCTTCGTAAGAGCAAAGGTGATTGTTATCCTTCTTAATGAAAGAAAACGATTTTGCCGAAGCAGCAAGTGCTTTGACCGATCCATAAAAAGTTTGTTCATTTCCATCTATAACTGTCGGCCAGTTGTAGTCGAATAAAAAACATGAACACATTATGCATTATTAGGGCACCTGTTCAGCGCTAGCCGGCTCTTCAGTGATACTGCACAGGGCGAAAAATGTTGCAAAAAGCCTTCAAGGAAAATTGACACTGCTTAAATGTTGAAAAATTATCACTACAATGCACCTTTGCCTCGTAATACTCTCTTTTTCTCGTAACAATATAACTGAGTGAATACATTGGGGAAGGAAAATTTTGTTTTAGTAGTTTTTCCCAGCGTGCAGCTGACTGTGACCGCTGTTGAAAGTGGAGAGGCTGAGCACCCCCAAATTTTCTCAGTGGGAAGAGGAGGGGGGGGGGGGGCTTGTGCCCTCCTTGCCCCTTCCGGCTGATACGCCTATACACGTTAAACACCCCATATCAATCATATCGATCAGATACCCATGGCTAGCTGGCATGTACGTGACCGTATAAGGTTGGTGGGACACGCTGACACTTGTATGTCGGCATAATTATTAACCGTTTGAGTGTTCTCGCCGTACATACGGTAGCCGTTTTCTGCCCCGAAGTGTACTTGCCGTACGGGTAGTCGATTGCGTTTCCAAACCACCTGCTCAAAATTTTGTGCCGTATTGATGATGCGTGCTCACCGGCAAATGGTGCCCCGCATAAAAATGGTGATGTCCTGGCCTTGTACTGCCTGTTTTCTACTAATGTCCTACATGACCTTTGTGGTTCCTCATCCTATATGTTGCCTGTAGGACACTACTGTATGTTTACGAACTCCTTCCTCATCCTGTGGAAGGATTCCTTCTTGTTATCTCTGGGATGCTCCTTTATGTTTACTGCAGGATGTTACCTGGCCGTGAACTATATGCTACCTGCAAGTATACCTTAGTTCACATGTTTGTTAGAAGTGGTAGTACAATAACAGTTCTTATCAGTGCCGTGGCCAGAGCGGTGAGTGACGTGCAAAGTCCCTCCCTTCCACTTTCCCATTATGACTCGCACGCCGCGCACACATACAACCATATATATATATATATATATATATATATATATATATATATATATATATATATATATATATATATATAAGGGAAAGAAGTGTAAACCTTAGGGCTCGTTTTTCCGTGTTTTAACACAATATAATGATATCTAACAGACAGTAATGCCAAGGAATGTACAGGGGAAGTTATTAGAACCAATGGAATGTAAATAAGAAGAAAGAAAAGTGGATGAAAAAAATAACCAGCCGTGAGCAGGAAACGAACCTACGACCTTCGAATAACTCGTTCGATGCTCCAACCACTGAGCTACCACAGCGGCCTTCCTTCCATCCACTTTTTTGAGTTTATATGTGAACTTAGAAGAAGGAGTGACAGTCAGCGCCATCTATAAGCCAAACGACGATTGTGAAAACACTCCTATGCGCATGTTTGGCGTCACGTAGCACGTGAACTTATTATGAGCGGGCAGCTGATTAATTGTCCCTCTTATACAACCTAAACACACCAAGTCTGCCAGTACGAGACCCTCGTTCAATGAAATAAAGGAAAGAAGTGTATACCTAAGGAATCGTTTTTCCGTGTTTTAACACAATAATAATGAGATCTAACAGACAGTATTGCCAAGGAATGTACAGGGGAAGTTATTAGAACCAATGAAATGTAAATAAGAAGAAAGAAAAGTGGATAAAAAGTTAACCAAAAATTTTTCATTGACTTTTCTTTCTTCTTATTTACATTCCATTGGTTCTAATAACTTCCCCTGTACATTCCTTGGCATTACTGTCCGTTATATCTCATTATATATATATATATATATATATATATATATATATATATATATATATATATATATATATATATATATATATATTTATATATATATATATGTATATATATCTATGTATGTATATAGTGATGAAACGTGGCAGACACGTGCGCGTCCCACGGCGAAAAATTTGTATTTGCTGTCTATTCAGTTTGACATCTTTTCGGGGGGGGGGCGAAGTCAATAAATGAGGTGATTTCTCGTCCCCCCCCTCGGGTCACTGTGTGCCCAGGCTCTTTTTATTTCTCTCTGTATAGGCTGACTTTGCGCCCCCCTCTTCAGTGACACAGGGGAAACCGGAAAGCGGCCACCGCCCCCCCCCCCCCCTATGCAGAAGGGCCTATGCATAAGGGCCATCAATCATTGCAATAAAATCTCGCGCGTACATGTCTGCATCAACAATTGTATAATGTTTATTCAAAAGACATGAGTGTTTTGTTGTAATTATGACCGCTGCTGTTTTTTTTCCCCTTTTGCGTTCACCTGCGAACGTTTTAAATTTCGCGACCTTGACTTTTTACTTTTTTTCCCTAAAACGGAAAAAAATATTTTGCGCTCTAAGTATTTGCGTGACGTATATTTACGTATGTTGTTTACATTTGAATGCAATAACAAAGTTTTTTTAGTACGCAAATCCGATCTACGTCTGTGGGTCTGTAATTATGATACTTGTGCTATAGTCAACATTTATAGATACTTTTGGCTATAGTGGCTCGAAAGGTTTTCCTTGTGTCGTGAACGACGATAGTTACAGCGCGAGAACAGAACAACGACAAAGGGGCACGAACGACACATCTCTTGTCTCTTTGTCATTGTTTTGTACTATCGCCATGTCATACCAACTAGCCCAAACTGCCACACTTCTCAGTTGTGAACGTGGCGGAAAAGCTGAAAGATTTTACAATATAGCCGCCAGAGGACGCGATTGCTTGCTGGCACGCGGCATTTACGTTTCCGTGTCCGCGCTCTCAAGTGTTTCTCAATGTAGCGAAACTTTGTGGTAACGGTACGAACTCACTGTGCTTGTCACACAGGGTACCGATAAAGTGTAAGCAAAGAAAAAAAAACAGATTTTCGGAGTATGCTACCAGGTTATTTTATCTCAACAGCACATACAAGCAGAATATATAGGGCGTACGGAACGATGATGTAGGAGATTCAGGGCTTCACTCCCATTTTATTATCATTCTTTCCCACGCAGTGGCGTTTGAGTATAAATTCATCAATATCCTTAGATATTTACAGCGCTCACATAAAAAAATACAACAACCAGATAAAAAGACGCAAAGACAAGTGTTTTGATACATTATGTAGGTGCCCAGTGAAAAAAAAAGAAAGACAGGTATATCTCAATGAAATAAGATAGATATAATAAAAAAATTAAAAATGAGCATCAGCCCGCGATAAATTGAAGTTCATGCACACATGAGGAATTAATATATTTTGAACATATATCAGGAAGCTGCGACAAACCGAATGTACATACATTACCATGAAGAAGGAAAAAAAAACAAGTGACAGGTGGATGCGAACTTCGATTGCCCCTATTTGCAATGGCACTTAGAAAAAAAAATTGGTATTCTTGCGTGAGGTTGAAACTGTTGTTACTGGCACCGCTGCCTTTCCAGGTGTTTTTGTTTGTCCCATTGTTAGGCCACGTTAAATGTTCAGTGACTGTGAAAAAGATGCAGCCTGGTGAGTGCATAAAACATTATCATGTCCCCAGGGAGCCGCCGCTTATGTACTGTGCATGCAACAGATTGCTTCGAGTTCACAAGCTTGAAGAAAAATCTAAATGCTGGTCGTTCGCAATCAATTTCTACAACCTCGCCGTTGATCACGTGTTTGAACGTCGACATAGCGGTCATCAAAATGTCGCGTACACACCGCACACGTTTTCGCCAAGCTCCTCGTCTTTTCTCCTAATGTTTCTTTCCCACCCTTGCAGCCGTGCTGGGCCCGGGGAAGCTCTGATTAGGGATACCTTTTCTTCGCAGGACTTGTATCCGCCTTTGCATAATGGCACGAAAGAAGTTCTCTTTTTCTTTTTAGCTATATGGTTCGTTTTAGAGGCTAGACAGATACGCAGTTTCACGCGGGCACAGTGCGAACCTTTCAAGACGCAGCTGAGAAATAAAATGG